GAAAAAATATTTAAATTCTTGTGTGTATAGCCTTAATTTTTTGCCCGCTCGAGCGCTTTAACCATTTAAAAAAAAAACTGTTGCTAGCCATGGAGATTGAAAGAAAATTGGAGTTATTTCTCGACACCCAGGTACCCAGATGTATATACGCGCATGCGAGAATATATATATATATATATATATATATATATATATATATATATATATATATATATATATATATATATATATATATATATATATATATATATATATATATATATATATATATATATATATATATATATATATATATATATATATATATAGGGCTGGCAATCGGGCCGTGTGAGCCGAGCCTGGGTCGGCTCAAGCTCATATAGTATCGGGCCTCATTATTATAGGCTCAAGCTCAAATACCATCGGGCCTCATGCCTATAGGCTCAAACTCGGCTCACGCATTTTTTCGGGCTTCGGGTTTATATCGGGCTTATATAAACAAATTACATATTTTACAACTTTGCAGTCGACATATTAAAGAAAAACAAAAAAAAAAACTTCGCAGTCTAAGCGAAAAATCTAGACTATTCATTGAAAATCAAAATAAGCTTAAAAAAAAAATTAAAAAAAAATAATCATAGTCTGTTCATTAAAACAAATAAAGTTTAATATTGCAAATATTTAATCATACTAAAAAATGCATCCGAGGCCAAAATGAAAAAAAAAATCATAAAATAAAATAATTAGAAGCAATTCTAAATGTCCTTAACTCTTTTCGAAAATCTTGAGACCTAAAATAAAAAAAAGGACAACAAATATATATATATATATATATATATATATATATATATATATATATATATATATATATATATAGTCGGGCTTTATTCGGGTCGAGCCATGGTAAGCTCACACTCGGCTCATAGTTTAATCGGGTTTAATAAAACGGCTCAAACTCGGCCCGGCTCACAATTAAAGAGGCTCGGCTCAAATAAAATCGGGCCGAGCTATCGGGCTTCAGATAGGCCCGGCTCAATTGCCGGTCATATATATATATATATATATATATATATATATATATATATATATATATATATATATATAGTCCATTTATCAAACAATTCTCCCCTCTCTCTCCTAAATAAATAAATTAAATAAAGTCACCCCCCTTCAAACGTCTGCAAAATTAAATCATTTTCCCAACTTAGTAAGTGATTAATGACATTTTAAATTTAGTTGCATAATCCAAAAATAAATCCTTCAACCACTTAATTATGACGTCATTCAATTCGTACACAATCACACCCTCACAACTATAAATACCACCCGATATTATTATATATTCTTCACCACATATATATATATATCACCCATAAATAAATCATCGATTATCTCTACAGCACATATATATATATATATATATATATATACTCAAGATGATGAAGGGAGTTGCAGTGGTTTTCGTGGTGGTTCTAGCGGCGGTTTCGCTGGCGGCGTCGCCGGGGGAGGCTGTCTCGTGCGGGGAGCTACAGAGTTCCCTCTCGCCGTGCTTGTCTTACCTCCAGGCCGGCGGCGGCGAACCGAGTGAGTCGTGCTGCGGCGGCGTGAGGAGCGTGACGGGAAGTATTCAGTCGACACAGGACAGACAGACGGCGTGCAACTGTTTGAAATCCGCCGCCTCCAGCTACAACGTCCGTACAGACGTCGCCGCCAACCTCCCCGGAAAATGCGGTGCCTCCATCGGAATGACCATTAGCCCCAACGTTGACTGCAGCCAGTACGTTTTTCCGTGTTTCATTTAAATATAATATTATATACATATATATTAATCATTTTTAATTAATTTTCCACGTCATTTATTTTCTAATACTGTTTTTTTGGGTTATATAATTGTGCTGCAGGATTTCTTAGATATGGAATCAGCGTTTGATTAAAGGAATAAAAAATAAAGAGTTAGAGAGAGCTTTCTTCAGCGTGGGTTGCTTGCATGCATGTATATATATATAATATATTGTGTGTGTATATATATATATACTGCAGCATGTTGTATATATATAGTGCTGTGGTAGAAGCTTTCATGCATCAGTTTCTTGTATCCAGTTTTGTGTTCATCTGGGCTTTGTTGTGGAATAATATAATACAAGATTTCTTGTGTTCTCTTTTAATTTTCTTTAATTTTTTCTACTATTGTTAATTAAAAATAAATCTATATTTAAGTTTACTTATATTGATATTAATTACTCCATAATTATATCAATACCACACTGACACTGTTAAATTAAATAAATAAATTTAGTACATCTAAATTGCCCTTCTCTTACACTAGTATATATATATATATATATATATATATATATATATATATATATATATATATAGAGAGAGAGAGAGAGAGAGAGAGAGAGAGAGAGAGAGAGAGAGAGAGAGAGAAATTAATATAAACTCAATGAAGAAAGAGGCATAAAAATGTTACAAATTAAATTAAATTAGACTATTTTTATCGTTAGAGCCTCAAAAAATAATGGTGATAGTACTCCACTCATTGGCCGAGATTCGTAATATATCATATCGGATTCGAAGAGTTTGTTCTAGCATGTCAACGTATTCTTACATCTTCTCTTACCATGAAAGAAATTACACGTGATATGTTTTGAAAGATATCGACTAAGTTCGAAGCTGTGGAAATACGTACAGTTTGCCTACAGGCTACTGGGAGCTAGGTTAATAGTTCTTAGAGAAGTGATCCAACCCTAATTCACCATCCACTAGACAATATATCATAGGCTTAGAGAAATTATATGTATTTAATTTGTTAAAAAAACAGAAATAAATACTCGTGATCTCAAAGAAATCGAGGGTTCTTGGCCGCCCGGTGTTTTTAAGCAGTTAATTAATATATGAAGTGAGACTAAGCTACTAGTAATGATGAGATGATGAGATTTTAAGAAGTTTACAGTTATTTGGATGATATAGCTCTTCTATATTAGTAATTCTATATATAAAAAAAAATAAAAAATAAAAAAAAATAAAAAAATCCTAATGAGTCTATGTAGTAGAAAAAAATAATGAATTCCCCAAAATGTAATTATTGTAGAAGAATTGTATCTTAAGCTTATTAGAGTGACTTAGTTATTAATTACATGCATGATTGATTTATTTATTTGGCTCGACAGTCAAAATATATATGTATATAACTATATATTATCACCCTATGAAAGCAAATAAGAAGTGTTTGGGAATTGGGGGTAATATTTGCTGTGGCAAATTGTTTATATAAAACTCTTTGAAACAACTTCATGTATAAATATCATGATTTTATGGCCTTTTTAAAACTTTTAAAATCAATTTTTTTTTATAATTATTTATGGAATTGGGGGAGAAGTGCATGCAATGCCAAAATTAAATAGTAAAGACCAAAGAGTTTACAAAAAAAAAAAAAAAAGAAAAAAAAAAGTAGGCGCCCTAGTTCGAATTCTCTTCCTCAGCTAATTAATTAATTAATTAATTTACTCTAGTTCATTCTATATATATATTGTCCATTTATCAATCAATTCTCCATCTCGGCATCTCCTAACTAATTCAATTAAATCAAACGTCTGCAAAATTGTATCATTTTCCCAACTTAGTAGTGTTACTAATAAATGACATTTATTAAATTAATAAGTTACATAATCCAAATCCTTCAACCAAATTATGACGTCATTCAAATTTGTATATATTATAATCACACCCTTAATTAATGTCGTCACATCTATATATAAATACCACCCACTCTTCTTCACTTCATAATTCATATCGATCACTTCAAGTTTTAATTAATATTTAATAGTCATCGATTAATTAATTATCTCAACCATATATACAGCACAAAAATGAAGGGAGTCGTTGCAGTGGTTTTCGTGGTGGTTGTTTCGCTGGCGGCGACGCCGGGGGAGGCGGTCTCGTGTGGGGAGCTTCAGAGTTCACTGGCGCCGTGCTTGTCTTACCTCACCGGCGGCGGCGAACCAAGTGAGTCGTGCTGCGGCGGTTTGAGGAGCGCGTCGGGAAGTATTCAGTCGACACAGGACAGGCAAACGGCGTGCTACTGTATGAAATCCGCCGCCTCCACCTACAACGTCCCTACAGACGCCGCCGCCAGCCTCCCCGGAAAATGCGGTGTCTCCGTCGGCATGACCGTTAGCCCCAACGTTGACTGCAGCCAGTACGTTTCTCCATGCATGTTTCATTTATATATAATATTATATACATATATATTAATCATTTTTAATTAATTTTCCACGTCACTTATTTTCTAATTATACTGTTTATTTTTTTGGGTAATTGTGCTGCAGGATTTCTTAGATATGGGATTAGCGTTTGATTAAAGGAATAAAAAAAATAAAGATTGAGAGAGAGCTTTTCTTCAGCGTGGGTTGCTTGCATGCATGCATGTATATATTGTGTATGTATATATGTATATATATATAAATACTGCAGCATGCATGTTATTATATTATATATATAGCACTGTGTAGTAGAAGCTTTCATCAGTTTTTGATATTCAGTTCTTTGTGTTAATCTGGGCTTTGTTGTGGAATAATCGAGATTTCTTGTGTTTTTTTTTAATATTTTTATTTTATTTTTAATAGTGTTAATTAAATAATAAACTTTATTAAGGTGAATTGACATTAATTAATAATTATTATATTACAAAATTAATATAACGGTGACACTGTTATGTTAAATAAATAAAACATAAAATATCTAAATAAGTAAATTGCCCTTCTGTTACGTTACTATAAAGAAAAAATAACATACCATAACTCATTAGAGAAATTTATTATTTTAAATTTTAATTAACCTCCAAAAGTTATAATTTTTTAGAAATTTAAATTCATAAAAGTCCCTATATATATACCTCTTTATTAAATGGCCTCTAATAAATTAATTTTCAATTATACTATTTTATTATTGGGAAAAAAATTATTATACAATCAAAATTAATCTTTGTATCAATTCCAAACAACTAAAAATTAATATACAATTAATTTTGAAATAAGATAAATTAATCCAGTGGATAAAATAATATGGATACTGGGCTTGGAGCCCACAAGAGATATGGACCCATATTTAGCCTGTTATGGGTCCAATTTCTGGATCCAGCAAAAGGTGTTAAACTTAAACCGGGTTGCCCCGATCCGGAAAAAGGAAAGATCCGTATCAAATAACCCCCAAAATTCACGCGCCTCCGTTGAATTTCACGATTTCACTCCGCGGATGCTACCAACCTGCAACGGCGCCTCCACCGGCCACATGTCGGACAGTGGACGTGGAATTGCGTGAACGCAGCCCTCTCATTGGCTACAAACGTTGTACCCCTGACACTCTGTCCACACAAACAGTCGCCATTCTGAACACCCTGCTGCTCTACACTTGCCCTCCGAACACACACAAACACGCACTGGTATATATACCCGAGGAAAAAATGGCACCTTCCTCCTGCACTAGGGTTTGTAGACTGTCGCCGCTAGGGTTTCAGTGTACTAGGATTGTCGGCGCAAGGTTTCAGAAAAAATGGTGTCAGTCAGAGCCAAGAGAGCTAAAATGGCTGCGGAGGCGGCGGCGGCGGCGGCGGAAGCTGAACAACAAAAGGCTGTTGCCATGGCGAAGGTCCGGGAACTCCAAGATGAGCTTCAAAAGGTTGTCCTTTTATAAACTTCTCTGTCCTTTTTTTTTTTTTAAATTCTTTAGGTGCTTGTGTTCGATTGAATTCATGTTTTATTATTGGTTTTTGTGGCTTGGATGATTGTTGATTTATGGGTGGTCGATTTTTTTTTTATTTGTTGTGATCATCTATGTTTGCTTTACTGTATAAATGATTTGTTCTGTCATCTGTGTACTGAATTTTTCTTTCTTGTTTTTTTTTATGTTCATTGATTTTTTTGGATGGATTTGTGTTTTAGTTGCTTCAAAAAAAAAAAAAAAAAAGAAGAAAAAAAAGAAAGAAATAAAGAAAGATCTGCCTGGATTGTGCTAGGGCAGTTTATTTTAGGGCTGAGGGGGTTTTGTTGTCGAGAATCTTCCTTTTGCTCGTTATTTGGAAATAAACCTACAAAACATCGGAGAAGAACAAATGTCATGTTACTGATATCAAGAAAGATGACTAAGCGGAAAAAAAAAATGTTTACGTGATTATGATGGAATAGGCATGTATGTATGTATGTATGTATGTATGTATGTATGTGTTGTATATCCGTGTTAATGCAGTTAGTGAAATAGATCTGATTTGACTTTACGTGGTTTTGGTCGAATTTGTTCGTTTCTCTTATTTTGGAAATTTAATTGTTGGGAGAATATGTCAAAGAGGTCTCTCAAATGGATAATTTGGTTTGCCACGTGGGGCAAAGTAGTGTCGTGTTTTCACTTTTCAGTTATAACTAATAACGGTCTCATAGATTTCTTACACGTGTACTGCTATTCGTTCTCCCAGAATATAAAACAAACATAGGTTTCTTACAAGTGTGTAACTTCGTGTGCAAAATTTGTATTCGATGATCGATTGTAATAAGAAACAATATAAGTCCAAGTGCATTGCTGAAGATTTATTTTCGTATGCTATTATGCAGGTGACCGATAAACTTGTAAAGAAGACAGAAGAACTGGAGCGTAAATATGACCGGAAAAAAGTACCCATCTATGATAGAAGAAGTCTCGTCATCAATTCGATCCCAGAATTTTGGTTGACCGCTGTGAGTGATGATTAATCATCGCATTAATCGGAACTTAAAAGTGATATTTGATTCATATTTGAGCTGAATCAATAATAATCTCGTATTGGTATCTATGTTTATTGCAGTTCTTGAAGCATCCTACACTCGGAACGCTGCTCACTCAGGAAGACCAGCAGGTTTGACACAAAATAATCCCCGTTAAATATTAATGTTGCCCTAATGAAAAACAAATCTCATTACTTTTAAATTTGATTTATCTAGATATTTCGGTACTTGGATAGTCTTTATGTGGAGGACCTTCAATACCCGCAAAAAGGGTATTGCATTACGTTCGTAAGTCTTATTTCTTCTTTTCTTTACGTGACAAAACATTTATGTTTTCCCACTTCGTCGTTTGGAGAGTGATATTTTCGTCATCTTTGTGAGTTTGCAGAATTTCAAGATCAACCCGTATTTTGAAAATGAAACATTAAGCAAGACCGTCGACTACACTGACGAAGGTCTGGAGACAACATGTACGACTATAAGATGGAAGGAGGGCAAGGTAGTAATAATAATGGATATATTCTATTTAAAAATAATTACATGTTTATTTTTATCATTATTATTTAAAATCAATGTGATTGTCACGTGTCCAGGCTCCTCCTGCTATCTCTGCTGTCCCGGTGGAAGAAAGAGACAAGCGTCTGTTACCATTTATCACGAGGTATTTCTTTTTTTCCACCCCTGTCTCTGAATAATCTTTATAAATCGAGATTATTTGGAAAATCTATTGAGTTTTTTTTTTTTTTGGAATGCAGCTTTTTTAAATGGTTTGGGTATGCAGCGGAGGACACAATGGGGTCTGATCAGGATTTGGTAAACAAAATTCTTGTCACATTAACGTTGTTATCATATTTTTAAGATATTGTTTGATGCGGCAGTAAAAGAACGGAATTATTACGAATTGCAATATTTAGCTAGTTTGATGTTACTATATCCACTTTTTATTTTTGGTTGACCGATGATTTATCATTGTCGACTTTCTTAACTGCAGGTCGGTGATATGATCAAGGGGGAATTATGGGTTAATCCTCTTAACCATGTAACGCTTTTACTATTTCTCGCTTATTTATTTCTCTCTCTCTCTAATATGATTTTATTGTTGGTTTTTCTAACTCTCTTGCTATCTCGTTATTTAGGAAGGTGAAGATGGAGAGTGGGATGACGAAGATGATGACTGAGTTTCTTTCGATACTTTTTAGAATTATGTTTTTAAAGAGAACAAAGAGTAACTTTTTGACTTCTTAAACCTATTTCGTTTGAATCTTTCTGTTTTACTGTCAGGTATTGACATTGTTTTATATTTCATGTTTTATCTTAGCCTGCTGCTCATTATTTCTTGGTGTTGCATTACTCTTACTTGTGATCTTATAAGATCTCAATTAGTGATAATTTTGTGATCTTATAAGATCTCAATTAGTGATAATTTTGTGATCTTATAAGATCTCAATTAGTGATAATTTGTGTTTAGTTTTGCACAAATATCGACTATGTGATCTTATAAGATCTCAATTAGTGATAATTTGTGTTTAGTTTTGCACAAATATCGACTATGCATGCGCACTCCCGATGACTATGCATGCACACTCCGCCGATACTACCAACCCCCAACGGCGCCTCCACGGGCCACATGTCAGACAGTGGACGTGGAATTGCGTGAATGCTGCCCTCTCATTGGCTACAAGCGTTGTACTCCTGACATTCTGAACACCCTGCTGCTCTACACTTGCCATCCGAACACACACAACCACGCACTGGTATATATACCCGAGAAAAAAATGGCACCTTCCTCCTGTACTAGGGTTTGTAGACTGTCGCCGCCAGGGTTTCAGTGTACTAGGATTTCTAAGATTGTCGGCGCAAGGTTTCAGAAAAAATGGTGTCATGCAGAGCCAAGAGAGCTAAAATGGCTGCGGAGGCGGCGGCGAACTTCAAGATGAGCTTCAAAAGGTTGTCTTTTTATAAACTTCTGTCCTTTTATTTTTAATAATTCTTTAGGTGCTTGTGTTCGATTGAATTCATGTTTCATTATTGGTTTTTGTGGCTTGGATGATTGTATGTATGTATGTATGTATGTATGTATGTATTGTATATCTGTGTTAATGCAGTTAGTGAAATAGATCTGATTTGACTTTACGTGGTTTTGGTCGAATTTGTTTGTGTTTGCAGTTATAACTAATAACGGTCTCGTAAATGCATTCACGTGGACTATTATTCGTTCTCCCAGAATGTAAACCAAACATAGATTTTATTACACGCGTGTAACTTCATAGTGCAAAAATTTCTTACACGTTGCTGAAGATTTATTTTCGTATGCTATTATGCAGGTGACTGATGAACTTGTAAAGAAGACAGAAGAAATGGAGCGTAAATATGACCGGAAAAAAGTACCCATCTATGATAGAAGAAGTCTCGTCATCAGTTCGATCCCAGACTTTTGGCTGACCGCTGTAAGTGATGATTAATCATCGCATTATTCGGAATTTAAAAGTGATACTTAATTCATATTCGAGCTGAATAAATGATAATCTTGTATTTGGTATCTATGTTTATTGCAGTTCATGAAGCATCCTATACTCGGAACGCTGCTCACTCAGGAAGACCCGCAGGTTTCACACAAAATAATCCCCGTTAAATATTAATGTTGGCCTAATGAAAAACAAATCTCATTACTTTTGAATACTTGGATAGTCTTTATGTGGAGGACCTTCAATACCCGCAAAAAGGGTATTGCATTACGTTCGTAAGTCTTATTTGTTCTTTTTTACTTGTACAAAACATTTATGTTTTCCCACTTCGTCGGTTGGATAGTGATATTTTCGTCATCTTTGTGAGTTTGCAGAACTTCAAGATCAACCCGTATTTTGAAAATGAAACATTAAGCAAGACTGTCGACTACACTGACGAAGATCTGGAGACAACATGTACGACTATAAGATGGAAGGAGGGCAAGGTAGTAATAAATAATAATAATGGATATATTATATTTAAAAATAATTACATGTTTATTTTTATTATTATTATTTAAAATCAATGTGATTTGTCAATGTGATTTGGTAAACAAAATTCTTGTCACGTTAATGTTGTTATCGTATTTTTAAGATATTGCTTGATGCGGCAGTAAAAGAACGGAATTTATTACGAATTGCAATATTTAGCTAGTTTGATGTTACTATATCGACGTTTATTTTTGGTTGGCCGATGATTTATTATTGTCGACTTTCTTAACTGCAGGTTGGTGATCTGATCAAGGGGGACTTATAGGTTAATCCCATTGAACATCTTAACCATGTAACGCTTTTGCTATTTCTCGTTTATTGCATTATTGATTCCCCGTTTTGGTCATCTTTTAGCTAAAAAGGTAATGATTGCAGGTGGCACCCGTTGACGAAGAAGATACCTGTGACGGGCGATGATGACTGAGTTTCTTTCGATACCTTTTAGAATTATGTTTTTAAATCGAACAAAGAGTAACTTTTAAACTTCTTAAACCTATTTCGTTTGAGTCTTTCTGTTTTACTGCCTGGTATTGACATTGTTTTATATTTCATGTTTTATCTTAGCATGCTGCTCATTATTTCTTGGTGTTGCATTACTCTTACTTTTGATTTTATAAGATCTCAATTAGTGATAATTTTGTGATCTTATAAGATCTCAATTAGTGATAATTTGTGTTTAGTTTTGCACAAATATCAACTATGCGATCTTATAAGATCTCAATTAGTGATAATTTGTGTTTAGTTTTGCACAAATATCGACTATTCGATCTTATAAGATCTCAATTAGTGATAATTTGTGTTTAGTTTTGCACAAATATCGACTATGCATGTGCACTCCAGGTCTCTAGTTATCAAGGTTTCGGTAAAATTATCGACTAATATTTTGTTGCAGGTCTTCACTGTCACGCACATGGCACATACATGTCAATTTGAAATTTTTTTTCTCTAAATTGGAGCTGGAATACACGTGAAATTTTGATTTCCAATATGATTTTAATTTTGGAAAATTACGTTCATAATATTGGTTTTATTATGTATTTTATAGTATATGTGAATAAAAGGAAAAATTATTTTCTCTTTATAGCAGTAATTAAATTGCTCCCAATATGTATGGCATATAACATTTCCATTGAACGATAAAAACGTCATTTGCATACATACATTTTTGAAAAAAATTATCAGGTTACAGGATAAATAAAAGACTATTAAATCTTCACCTAACTATAAAATTGTTTAATATCTGAAGCATAAATAAAAGCACATCAAAAAACCAATTCAAAAATAGCTACTATATGACATTGTTACATAAATCAAGATGTCATTCATCTAAGTAGAAAGTATGGATTGAATTCAACCCAATCAGAATCACCCCGCCTCCAATTTCCACCCAAATTATCTCCGTTTCTGCCGAAACATTTCTCGTGTGACTTAACCAATACCGAATAAAGATTGTAGATCAAAGGATTACCAAGAAACAGCTTAATCGCCTCTCCGATCGCATCAACTTCAGACAACAGCATGGCCCCACTACTCTCGGGTTCCTCTTTCAACAGACACTTCGAAAGTGCATAAAACGCAACTAAATTTGCGTACACCGGCAAAAAAGCATCTTTGTGATTCCCAACACCACCGATCCAATCAACGCTCCCCCTTTTCCCAATGTACTCCCGACTAAACCCTATCAACTCTTCGTAAAACCTCGTCCTCCATTTACCCAAAATACCCCTGGCCCCACCACTGTTTGAACTCGGAATAACTTCTAACTGCAAACAACATATCTGGCAAATCAACAGCTTCTCTTCATAATGGTTATCAATCTCCTTATCGAAGACTCGTCTGACAAGGTCTCCACCAGACACAAAGTAGCTTCCGCCGTTTGCAATGTTCGAAACCCAACTGCAAAGACAGTCCAAGTAATCATGCCACTGGCCAAAAACTTCCGTCAGATGCTCAAAACATAGTTCAATTACTTTCTCTACTTGGCTTGAAGCCATAGCAAATGGGGAGTTCTTTTTTAAACACTTTTGAACATCTAAAGCGAGTGTTTTTCTGAGCCCAACATCTTCGTCTTCTAGAAGCTTCACGCATATGAACCATAGATCGAGTACTTTACGAGCGTACAGTTTAATAGACAGATTCTCATCGGAATTTGTGGAGCTAGAAACCAAAGAACCGAGGGCCTCTGCATTACCCAGCAGATCAGAAGCTATCATTGATTCTGCAGCTGCCTTTCGCATATTTATAGGCTCTGACGCATCGCTGTTTTGTTCGATCATATCCATGAAATAAGTTAACGCATCGTAGAAATCGGAAAATAATTTACTTGGAGTAGTTTCTTTCTTCTCCACTTTAGAAGAAATAAAGCTCATGCATAAGATGGAAATTCGCTTGATACATACTCCCATGCAGCAGATGAGTGTTTGACGAGTCTTGGCGTGCCTTGTGATCTCAAACAGAGAAACCAACTTGTTCCATAACTGGAATACCGAGTTGCGGTCCATATTACAGACATATGTTGTTTCTGAACTTGGCTGGTTGTCTTCTTGAAATTCGAGCGAGTTCCATGTGTAGAAAACTTTCAGAAGATAGTGAATGCACTTGTGGTGTTTTTCTGTAACCAGAAGCTTCATAAGTGTCTCTTGCAGATTGATATTAGTCAAACACGTTTTAATAGCATCGTAATGAAACTGTTCATCACCATTGTCACCCAAAGATTCCTTATTCTTGAGAAATAAAAGAAGCCACTTTAGAGTAGCGATCCGTATTTCGTACGATGCATCTGACATGGATCGGATCAGCCTTTCCTGAAATTTAGTAAAGGCAACTTCCGTTTGTCCAACTACTCTTAACGAACTAGTAGCAGGTGAAGACAAAATTCTTCTCATCTGAAGTTCATCTTCGGTTGCTTCTTTACATGTCGGGAAAACACAGTTGAAGTAGGAAGTAGCGGCTTGCTTGCGAAGTTCTTGAATAGTTGGATCGAAATACGACAGGCAATCAGTAGGTTCTAAATCCAAGGATTCAGAGGATAATTCCCAGAGGAGATTCCAAATGACACGAGCACCTCTGCTTGCTTCGCAGGTTCTTGCAATACTGAGCATGTTATCAAGAACTTTTATCATGCAGCCATTAAGGATGGGGCATGGGCAATATTGCGGTCTACCAATCCAAGAGCGTGTTGCTAATATTTGAATCAGTTCATTGAGAATAGTATCCTTTTTAAAGGAATCGATTAGGTTTCTGCAATTCGTATCTATAAGAGCATTCAGCTGTAATAACATTCCATGAATTGAATTGTAAGAACAAGAGGTCCTATTGGTTGAAATCAAGGTACTCGATGAATCGGGTGTCGTGATATGGTTTTTCTCACACGGTAACTCCGAGGCAATATTGAGCAAGACAACCTGCAGTTTCTCGTTGGCTACCAGACCCATTAAAGCTCTTGATGCAAGTACGCGAATCCGTAAATTACTTTGGATTGAACACCTTCGGATGAACGGCATGAAAAGAAAAGGGTCCAAAGAATCCCCAGTTTCACTTGAAATCGGTGAAGGTTTAAGACGAGACAAAAGTATCAGCATTGGGCACAAGCTTGGATGTACAACATTCTTTAGGTTAAATCCCAAGTGTTCTGACGACCCTTTCAAAAGCAATTCAGTAGCCACTCTCAGTTCATTTAATAAGAAAGAGTGCAATGTAGGGTACCTAGAGTCAGAGGGAAAAAAAATTGAGTGCGTAAATGTCAGCTAAATTTGAAGCAAAAGGAAACCAAAAAAAAAATCGTGTCAAAAAACTTACCGGTGGAAAAATTCAAGCCCAGTTAGAGCTCGCCTGGCAGATTCTCTTTTCTGTATATTAAGAAACCCAACCATGCGACGTAGCAGAGCAGTATATGCAAGACAAGCACTGTTGCGAATCTCCCAGTATGGAGAAGAGAAAGAGCGTATCGAGATTACTATTGCATCAGCACAAAAACCTGAGGTATCAGTAGCTAGGTTTGTATCATTAAAAGCTGCCTTGAGAACATTGAAGGCATGAACAGTGGGGACAACACCTTCATCTCGAAACTTTGACACCTCATCATTATTGCCACTGCACAAATCACTATTGGAGATGTTTGATTTAGGTTGATCGATTAAAGACTCCTTCACTACATCTATTAGCCAGGATAGTGCCTTTGGCAGTAGTCTTTTTGGTGTTCCCTCGGGCTCTGAGAGGAAAAACGCAATAAATGCAGCAGGTATACCTGCACTTCTTCTTAACAGGTCGTCCACTGTTTGTCCTTTGGCCACAGTTCTTTCCATTAGTTGATCCATCCAAGACTCTGTCAATTTACATAGCCTGAACATAAATAAAGCAGCAGTATCATCATACGGGACTCGGGTCAAAATAACTCCATTTTTTTCTCTCAAATCTCTCATGTTATATTCACGACCAGATAGATAGGTTACGAACATAGTCAGATTCAGCAACAATTCACGAAAGCTTGTATAGACAGAAAATCAGAAGTAAACGATTACTTCAGTTATCAAGAAGTCGCCCAACATTTTTGTAGTCATGTATTAAATAAGATTTCATGGTGAATTAGTCATAGATTAGTAAAATCGTGTGCACCAAGTTCTATAAATCCTTCGGATGCTTAAGCATCACATATTCACATTGTTGTGATTTCAAGAAATAATCAAATAATTGCAGTTCAAATACAAACAAAGGATACTAAGATCAAAGAATTCACAGATAGAATTTCAAGAAATACCTTGGATCATTTGAACAAAGCAGCCGGTTGCACAGAGCCGTGAACCCAGCTCTTGTCTTATCAATTGCTCCATTGTGTTTCATTTTGAGAAGTACTTCTAAGAAATGGTTGCCAATTGTCTCGAGTTGTTGCAGATCAAGCATCACATCAGATGCCAGATCTGAGTCATCACTAATGTTAGTGACTGATTTCCTCACTTCATCTGAAGTAGGTAAAGGAACTTTCCTAATTACTGTTCCCAGAAGAAGGCTCACCTGGAAACGAAATGAAAACCACTATTAGAAACTTCTCAAGTGTCTTTTCATTCTCTAAGAATGATTTTATAATAGAACACCATTCTCATTTTCATAAAATTTCCGAGTAAATAAATAGTCAATAGAATTGCAACATTCTTTTACAAATGGTAAACATACCTCTTTCATTGCAAGCCAACAACCAACCATAACAATCTGTTCAGGCGGGGCAATCTCCTCCACAACTTTCGTATTTTTAACCTCAACCTCTGATTTTGGGCCGGATAAATCAATCTCATCCAGAATCTCGATCGGAAACGCCTCGTCATCCACCATTTCTTCCATGTCATCAGGCAAGTACAATGCATCAGCCGAGACTACCCAAAGGGCAACCGAAGTTATTCGCATGACCAACTCCAAGAGCCTCTGTAATATATGTTTCATTTCAGACTTGCTATGTGGAAACACATCGGCATTCCAATCCATTTCCTCAAATGTGTAACGAAGAGCGAGCAATATACCATGAACAAAGCTATTCTTGCATGCTTCCGAGAGATTCTTCTCAGCATCTTCCACAGCAGCAAGCAGCCAATCAAGAAGTGACATCACATAACTCACCACAGGAGAGGTGGTCATGCAATTTAGCCAGGACCCATTTGGCATCTCGGATTCTGAACATAAAGAAACAACATTACACGAAGGTTTAAGAATCCAGCTTAGCTCCAAAACATACTTCCTAAAAAGAAGACGCAGTGTCAGAGCTCCAGCATCACTTTCTCGTACACGTGGACTGCAGATTAGCTTTTTAGCCCATATAATTGCCTCACGGACCAAGTCTGGGCTACCAAGGCCAGGAAGTGGAGTTGGAAAATAGAGCAAAATACGCAATGAACTCTCTCTCAGTCGATCCCAACTATCAACAATTGATCCAACCAACAGCAAAGTTGAATCTGGCGAAGTAAAACTTTTACTGTAGGGGTATAGATTCGTATCCGAGCAAAACGTATCCTCGTTTCCTGACGCTACAGGCCAAACATTTAGCATTATCAATATCAGCTCCATAGCCATTGTCTTTCTCTCATATGGAGCAGAAGGGTAGCAGGAAAAATATAATAAACAACTCAACCACTTTGCGAAATCAAAGAGATTCTCTGCCCTCTGTTTTAAAGTTTCTTCAGCTCCATTATATAAACAAGCTTCATTAGGCTTCCATGATCCTAGCTTGAGTTGTCTCTCCAATGCTGTTCGAACCCGAGCAAAGAATTTTCTGAACAAGCTGTTCCACTTCATCTGGAAAGCAGTAGAAGAACATCTCATGTTCAAAGGTACTGCTCTTCTCATTAGGCTAAGTTCTAAAGAAGAAGGTAGACTAGCTGTTTTTGGATTTAAGAATAATGTTTCTGCTGCATTCATGCGAAGTGACTCATCTATGTGGGTCAACGCTAATATGAGCCATTTGACTGGGACTTTAACCTGAACGCCTTTTATACCAACCACACAGAATAAATTACTATTTTCCAGATCGAGCACTGCACCTTCAGGGGATTCCGATGAACTCTCGTACCAATCAATGTCTCCTTCCATCAAAGCAAGTACACGAGAGACCTTGAGTATTGATACCAAAACAGCACTTTGCTGTTCAAGTCCTAGAGCCAAATCCGTAAAACTGATTTCAGTAGAAGCAAAGAAAGGGCCGTCAACCCGTTCAATGCCAATCAGTGCAAGCATATAGAATATACTATCTTCATCTAGCTCAAGTAGAACAGGCAATGCATAAGTATTCAAGTTTGTCCGGAGCTTTGCAAGTCCAAAAGCAAGTCCGCGTAAAATTGGCAACAAGCAATGACCTCTATATTTTGCATATCCACCGTCAACACCATCGCTAGTCCAGTATTCATCTCTCAAACACTCGAGAAAACACTTAAGAAATGATGTAGCAGCACAGCACACGTCATCATCAATGTATGCCCTTGTTGTTTCAACAAGCAAGTCGGGATTCATGTCCAGAATAGCCTTCGACCCCAACCGCCTCGTAAGAGAGGCTAAAGGAGCATACCTTCCCTTGCAACGTGGACCCAAACTAAGGAGATCAGAAGCAATCTTCCTCATTGACAACTTAATCTTTTCACTACCCTCCGCCCAATAAAGACTTGCTTGGATATCTAAATAGAGGTCAAAGATAAGATGAACTTGTTTAACAGTTTGACTTAAAGGATCCTCCAAGTTTTGCCACACAATCTTTAATATCCTTGCCCCCATCTCCTCGGGAATTGGATCATAGTTATTTGTGAAGCCCCCATTATCAACTTGCAACAATGTTTTAATCTGCTGCAGACATATTTGCATTACAGTTAATGCATGAAAATTAGAATGACTGTCACTAGGATTTTCGGCGTAGCCACACAACTCGGGCAAAATAGCATCATAAAGTATTGTCCTGACTGAATATCCACCATTTCTAAATTCCTTAGAGTCATCCAAATCATCGTTAGACACAAAATAATGAGTGTCAAGAACAGTTCTTGAAACTGCTGTCAGTATTCCCCTTATCAAGCAAAGTCTACTTATTGCTGGAAAATGATAAACTTCATCAACCAAATCTCCCTTGTACGGAATTTTCCCTACCACAGCTTTAAGGTCGATCTTACCATCCTGAATATCAATCTGATGAAAAATACCTCGCATGATAAACGAACCCAACTCATCCGAACTCAAACACACCTGCACGGCTGCACAAAAACTCACGCCAGCTGCCACAAAGCAGTCCCTTGAAAATGCCTGAGACTTCAAAATGCTCAAAATATTCGTAAATGCCATCTCCAGAACACTCGTATTACTCAAGCTCGATCCATGATTTTCGTCGCCTGCATTACGAAACTTTTCTGGGAAGCGTTGAAGCAAGTAATACATACACGAAAGTGCCTCCTGGCATTGTTCCATAACAATTGGAGAAGGCCTCGACAATTCTTTTGTTTCATTAACAACAGAATTCAACCCAGAAACCACATCCAACCCCACCAAAATGGCACACTGTTCCACAACTTGAACTAAATAACCTAATTTAGGTGTGTTCATCATCGAAAGTGCTGCCCGCGAAACACAGAATCTTCTCCCATTTCTCACATTCTCCCCGCCACCATACTCTTCGCATAGTCTCCGGAAACAAGCCTCGATCAAACTCTGACAGTTCTTGCACTTACCCAAAGCAGAAGCTAACGTCCTGTGCAAAGGCAACGAGTTCTCCAGAAAAAGGATTTCCAAGTACAACTTCACGGCACAAGAAACTGTCTTTTCATCGGAGTTTCGGTCGGAGAGAAAATTGGAAAACGCCGCGGCTAGTTTCGTAACTTGTTCGATCTGAGCATATGTGGAAGTTAGGGAAATGAATCGCTTTAGTTCAGAGAAGAAAGCGGAGTCAGAAGGTGTTTGCTCCAATGCCTCAATGAAGTGCGGTGGGAATACGACGGCGCTGTAAGTGTAAAGGTGGCGGTGCTGTAAAGCACGCCATTTAGAGGACATAACTTAAGTTGAGGCAGGTTTGAATGTTTAGGTTTGGAGCCAACGGTGGCGGAGTCGGACGGCGGACGGCGTTTGCTCGGGGTTTTGTCTGAAAAGATACGCCCGAGTTATTTAGGGTTTAGATTTTATTTTATTTTTAATAATCAAAATGTCAGTTTAGTAGTTATTTTTGTATATTAAAAAAAATAGTCAATTACGGATTGACAAATATGCCCTTCTCCACGGTCTTTAGTTTCGACTTTTAGCCTTTAGGTATCCAAGTGTGGGAGAATTACACTTTTAGTCCCTCGTGTTTAACCTGATCTCACTTTTGGTCCCTTTGGTCCCGGAAAGAACTAAATTGTTCTGCCTTCATCTAGTCATCTTCGTTTTTCTAATAATCAAATGTTAGGTTATAAAGTTTTTTGTTCTATGTTATACTCGATGAACTTTACCTTGTTATATGATACCATACGCATCTGTAAATTCATTTGTATTTTACGCACATCAATATTCATATATGTGTGTTATTACTCGTAAATCAAATGTCATGCATTACACAAAGTGTAGCGGCATCTACAAGACCGTATCAACTATCAAGATCAGGTTTTCACTCAAATCTCACGAGTATGGGATTCTAATGTATGTGTTTCGTTCAATCTAGTGTTCCTATTCTTACAAAGAAGCTCAAATCATTTACAGTTTTTCGATCAATAGGGAACTCGTTGCCAACATCACAAATAAAAGTAAACGAATATAAACAATGACTAACCCACATTAAAACGCACCAAAGGCATAAAGTAGTTACAAATTTAACTTAGGTCCCTAAATCAAAATAATTTTCTCAAACATCTTCAATCAAATTCGGCTGATTGGTGGTAAGAATATGAGACGGCCAAGAATCATAAGACGAAGGATAACGCGCACGTGGCCTGCTCACATTCGAACGTGCCTTAGGCATATCCATATCAACCTCAATATTAAACGGATTGAGCAAACCTAATTGGGATTCGTGATGTAATGGCACCACAAAAACGGGACCCACAGCAGAAGTTGATTCCGACGCATGAACAACCAGAGGAAACGAAACATGTTCTTCTACTGGTACATGTGTTGTACCATTGCTCTGAGATTGAGTATTAACATCTAAGTTTGAGCAATTATTGTTATCAGCCCTCTCTTCGATTTCTCTCTGCAGATTCTTGATTTGAGCATCTAGGGTTAGAGTTTCCTCTAGAAGCTCGTTCTTCTCTATCGTGACCTGTCAATTTCATAATCACAGTCGAATTATAAGCCAATTAACAGTACATTCGGCACCAAGACAACCTTAAAAGAATTGACATAAAAGAGATGCGTTGAAGGAACTTACGTAATTAGATTCGGACAAAAGAGTTGTGTTTTCCTTCTTCAAATTGTCGACCTGAGTTAGCAATTCTCCTAGGAGTCGAACGGTTTCTCTTAGTATAGAAGCTTTGCCATTGTTCGGATGATCTAGATCTGCATGAATTACGACAGTCAAAATTGAATTTTGTTTGTTTATAAAAAAAATTCGAAAAGACAGATTGCATTGTGTACCGAGTGTTCGGCCCAGATCTAGAAATAATTCATTCATACGGTCACGTTTCAGCTTCTCCCTCTCGGCTTTATGAATTTTCCGGGGGATTTTTGCAGCATTCTTTTTACTACTACTGTGACATTTTCTGCAGAATCAGAAAAACTAATGAGTGTCTTCTCAAATCTCAACCCCAATATATCTTTCTTGCAGCAGTAACAGAACACAGACAAGAAAATAATCATCCAGACTAAATCAAAACTGAAAATTCTTAGCTCTTACACATCAAATTAAAGACGTTGTACTATATATAAGGTAATTAAGCAATAAATCATTTTTTCAATTTGTAATTTTATCAAACAATTAGGCGACAATTATAAAAATCCCCAAATCCATAATCCTAATACAAACAACTGCAATTCGGCCAAGCAAAACAACAAAAGTAACATAGGAAGCAGACAAAATGGAAATTATAAACAAGTAATTGAGACAAGAAACAAACCTCGTAGACACATTTACGGGATCAGCGGTTTCGGAAGCCATTTTATAGAGCTTTGCTGATTGAAATAAACCAGAAAATGGTGAGTTTTTCAAGTAATTAAAAAAAGAAGGGAAGAAAGACGCAATTTTGGACAAGCCTTGAAATTTCTGCAGAATGAAACGAAATTTGTGTGAAGGAAGAAGGGGGGCGAGTATGGGGTTTGAGTGACACGCGTGGGCGTGTGGCGTGCGTCCGCCTCGAACGGGTATCGCGTGAGCGCGTCACGGGGTTGAATATATTAAATTACTTTTATGACCTTGGAAAGTTGCTGTACGTCGTGAATTTAATCACTGGTGGAGGGTGAATACGTCTGATTTTGATTTCTAGGAAAACGACATCGTGTGGATTGGTTTGGTCCGAGTAATGAGAACACACGTGTACGGCGGAGTCAAACTAGTCAAAATAAATTGCTACTCGAATTTTTTATTTATAATTTGGTGTCTAGTAAAGTTACGGAAAAGCCCCTAATTGGGGACCAGAAATGAATTCGGCCCATTACAAATGATTGTCCACCTGGAAATGGGCTTTAAATTTCGGATCCAAGCCCACACAACACGTGTCTGTGTCACGTGCTCACCACTACTAAAAAAATTACAAATCCATATCTGGTTTATTACAAATCCCATGTGAAAGTTGAACAAATTAATGATTCACAAACGGAGTCACCGCGCATTAACAATTTATAATCATTAATCAACTTCCTAATCACCGCATGAATGTGACGTGGCACGCCGACGACGTGTTCAAACTAGTAAAATGTGTGGTCTAAAACTCACGAGTGTGTACCTAATTTTAGTTACAGTGTGAAATTAATTAACTGCTAATTTCATGTATTGTTTAATTACGTGTTTGAATAGTATTTTCTAAACAATTTAGGATTTGTGAACAAGAAATATGGAGAAAATAAATAAATAAATAAATAATTGGAAACCGATGAGAATTGGCGTGAGGATTAGCACACCGATACCGTAAAGTTGACGTGTCGTAGAGCCACCAAACACAAACGGCGACTGTATAATTTGGAGTGTGGTCCCCCCACGTCAGATTCAACATTTCATCGGAGTCCTCAAAAAGCACCACATGTCATATATCGGTCAACATACACGTGTCCCTAAGCACACGTCCTTCTTCTCTTCGTAACCGCAACTCATCTTCAACCTTAGCCGGCCAACCTATATATATATATATATATATATATCACACCTACACCTACACGCATTTAACATGCAATTTTGCTTGACTTCTCCTTCTTGAAATACTGTATTCCTTGCCGGAAAATCCCATGAGAAATTCAAGGAGAGTAGTGTTAGAGATGGATGAAGAGAGTTATTTGCGGTTGAAGGAGGCGGAGGTTTTGTCACCGCCGCCAGAGGTGGTGGCGCCGGAGAAAAGGAAAGGAAGGAGCTACGACGAGGTGCATGCACATAATCAGATATTGAGAATCAGAGCAGAGGACTCACATATCGGAGAAGAAGACAATTGGGAGGGGAATTTAAGGCTCAAACACAAATTAGATGTTGCCCATTTCATGGTTTTTTCCAGGCAGGCTTCCCCTCTTAGCTGCAACACTGCTCACTGAGGTCAACGACTAATAACTCTGTATTTATGTATTAACAAGCAAATGATAATAAAATCAAATTTCAAAGACGAGGCAGTGTTCTGGTGGGGTTGACATCACAGTTCAACTACATATCCTGTAATAAAACTACCTGTTCTACCCTACATAGCAAAGTATTATACTAGGATTTTTCTTCATTTAATGTACTCTATAGTTATATCATGAGAAACAATAAATAATTCAACATATAAATATACCATGTAAAGATTAGCAGAAACATTGATCCATGATTGAGTCATAAACAACAACAGACACTGAAAAATAAGATACCAATAATCCCCATTAAACACACAAACAGATAGCAGAAAATTACATGCAAATTTCGAAAAGTTCAAAAACACCAGAAACCAGTTCAACAGAAACATAAGAAAAATAGAAAGATGTTTTGACGACAAACAATCAACCAATGAGTTCATTGGTTGCCACGATTAAAAGGTTTCATAACCTCATCTTAAAACAAACCCTAATACTCCTCGTTCTCATCATCATCACCTTCAGCAGATTCAGCTCCAACTTCCTCGTAGTCCTTCTCCAGAGCAGCCAAGTCCTCCCTAGCCTCGGAGAACTCCCCTTCCTCCATACCCTCACCCACGTACCAATGCACGAAAGCCCTCTTAGCATACATCAGGTCAAACTTATGGTCAATCCTCGAGAACACCTCAGCCACACTCGTCGAGTTCGAGATCATACAAACAGCCCTCTGCACCTTAGCAAGATCGCCGCCAGGAACCACAGTTGGCGGCTGGTAGTTGATTCCGCACTTGAAGCCGGTCGGGCACCAGTCGACAAACTGGATTGTCCTCTTGGTCTTGATAGTGGCTACAGCTGCGTTCACGTCTTTAGGGACCACGTCGCCCCTGTACATCAAACAGCAGGCCATGTACTTGCCATGGCGTGGGTCACACTTGACCATCATGGAAGATGGCTCGAATGCAGTGTTGGTGATTTCCGAGACAGAGAGCTGCTCATGGTAGGCCTTCTCGGCAGAGATGACTGGGGCATACGAGGAAAGCATGAAGTGGATTCTTGGGTATGGTACGAGATTTGTTTGGAACTCGTTCACGTCAACGTTCAATGCACCGTCGAATCTCAGAGATGCGGTCAGGGAAGAAATCACCTGCACATTTCATCGAACACCATTAGTCAAACATGTAATAGTCACTAAACCTTGATGTATGTCTATAGATCTACAGAAATTTACCTGAGAAATCAGCCTGTTCAGATTTGTGTACGTGGGTCTTCA